ACCAAATTAGCTTTACAAGGAATGTTAAAGAGACTTCTCTAAGTGGAAAATAAAAGGCCACAACTAGAAACGTGAAAATTATGAAAAGAAAAATCTTATGTGTAAAGGCAAATATAAAGTAAAGGTAGTAAATCAATCATGTACAAAGCTAGTAGGAAGGTTAAATGAAGAAAGTAAAATCATTTGTATCTACAGTGAGCAGTTGAGGAATACACAAAACAAAAAGATGCAAAATATGGTGTCAAAAACAGTGATCACAAGGAGATAAGAATTGAAATGCAGGTTTGTTAAAATGCATTGAAGCTAAGTGATTAGCAACTTAAAACAANACTATAAAACCTCTCCAGAAAGTGGGCATTGAGGGAACATACCTCAATATAATAAAGACCATTTATGGTAAGCCCAGTTGACATCACAGTCAATAGTGAAAAGCCTAAAGTATTTCCTCAAAGATCAAGAAAAAGACAAGGATGTCCACTCTCACCACTTTTATTTAGCATAGTATTGGAAGTTCTAGCCACAGGAATCACATAAGAAAAAGAAATAAAAGGAATCCACACTGGAAAGGAAATATTAAAACTGACACTATCTACAAATGTTGTGTTGCCTTGTATGCCCAGTCATATCTGACTCTTTGTGACCCCATGGATGTAGCCCACCAGGCTCCCCTGTCCATGGAATTTTCTAGGCAAGAATACTGGAGTGGGTTGCCATTTCCTACACCAGGGAGTCTTTCTGACCCAGGGATCAAACCCACTTCTCTTAGGTCTCCTGAATTGGCAGGCAGATTCTTTACCACTGTGCCCCCTGAGAAGATCCTCCTCCAGGGGCTCTTCCTGACCCAGGGTTCAGGAAAAGTGGACAGATACATGTAAAAGAATGAAATTGTAGTATTATCTGATATCATATACACAAAATTTCAAAATGGATTAAAGACCTAAATGTAAAACTGGATACTATAAAACTCCTAGAAGAAAAAGGTAAGTAGAACACTATTTGACAGAAACTGTAGCAATATTTATTTGGGCCTATCTCCTGAAGCAAAGGAAATAAAAGTGAAAATAAACAAATGGGACCAAGTTAAACTTAAAACCTTTGCATAGTTGAGGAAACTTGATAATATGAAAGGACAACCTACTGAGTGGAAGAAAAATTTGCAAATCATATGACCACAGGGGGTTAAAACCCCAAAATACAAACAACTCACACAACTCAATCTCAAAAAAACACAGAACCTAACTTTAAAATAGGCAGAGGGACTGAACAGATATTTTTCCAAAGAAAACATATAGATGACCCACAGGCACATGAAAATATGCTGAACTTTGCTAATCATCAGAGACACGCAAGTCAAAACCATGATGAGCTATCACCTCATACCTGTGAGAATGGTTATCCTCAAAAAGACCACAAGTGTTGTTGGCAAGGATGTGGTAAAAGGGAACCCTTATATACTGTTTTTGGGATGTAAATTGGTGCAGCCAGTATGAGCCATCAATTCCAATCCTTGGTATACATATATATATGCAAGAAAATGAAAAAACTAATTTGAGAAGATGAATGCATCTCAAAATTTACAGCAGTCTGATTTATAATAGCCAAAATATGGAAGTAACCTAAGTATCAACAGATGAATGAATAAAGAACTTCTGGTTCACACACACACACACACACACACACACACACACACACACAAATACATGCACACACACACAGTGGAAAACTACTCAACCATAAAAAAGAATGAGGTTTTGCCATTTGCAACAACATGACTGGACCTGGAGGATATCATGCTTAGTGAAATAAGTCAGTCATAGACAGACAAATACTGTAGGTTATTACTTATGTCTGGAATCTAAAAAATGAGATAAACTAGTAAATATAACAAATAAGAAAGAGACTTACAGATATAAATTAGTGGTTACCAGTGGAGAGAGGGAAGGGAGGAAGGGCAAGGTAGAGGCAGGGGTTTAATAGGTACAAACTACAACATACAAAAAAAATAAGCCACAAGAATATACTATTCAACATATAGCCAATATATATAGAAATATAGCCAATATTTTATAGCTATAAATGGAGTGTCATCCACAAGACCACTAAGTTGTACAGTTAAAACTTAATATATTTTTTAAAATTTCTTGTATTTTTTAAAATTAATTAATTAAACTCTTTGGCTGTGCTGGGTCTTTGTTGCTGTGTGTGGGCTTTCTCTACATGCAGGAGTGTGACCTGCTCTCTAGTTACAATGTGTCGGCTTCTCACTGAGGTGGCATCTCTTGTTGGCAGCAAGAGCTGTAAGGTGCATGGGATTCAGTCGTTGCAGTTCGAGGGCTCTAGAGTGCAGGCTTCGTAGCTATGGAGCACAGGCTTAGTTGCAGCATGTGGAATCTTACTGGACCAGGGATTGAACCAATGTCCCCTCTATTGGCAGTCAGATTCTTAACCACTGGACCGCCTGAGAAGTCCAAAACTAATATAATATTGTTAATCAACTATACCTCAATTTTAAAAAGTAATAAGTAAGGATATGCACAAAGATAAAGCTCTAAGGATGTTCACTGTAGGGTTGCTTGTAATAGTAAAAGCTGTGGATCAGACAAATTAAAACAAACAATTTTTAATCATAAAAGTATTGACTAGATGAATATTTGTTGATTTTGAAAGAGGCAATAAATATTGCCAAACAAAAAAGCAATTTATAAATAATATGTGTAATATGAACTCACTTGTGTGAAGCACCTAACAAACACACACAGAACACTGAAATGAATCTGAAATAAAATCAGCCCTAGCCTTCAACCAGAAAAAAACATTTTTTTCACCTAATACTTAGTAAAGAAAGGCAAGACATTTAATTGAGCTACTGTAGTGAGGAACAGAGAATTCAGTACAGAACTGAGCTTAACTCTAAGCACAGCAGAGAGCTGGGGATGTAGACATGGGGTCAGTGGGTGGGAAATGGCTAATAGTAACTTGATTGCATATTAAGAGTAAGGGCATTCTTGCTAAACTGGCCTAATGGGCTTCTTGTTAAAGGCAGACCAAGGACTTAGATATCAAGGATGGGGGATGAAGAACTTGATTAGATATCAAGGATGATCAGCTATCAAGGCTTAGCAAGATTCTTGGCTAAAACTGGACTCAGCGGACCAAAGTCAAGGCTTCATTGAGAAGAGGGCTCAGAGGAGCCTGACTAATGATTGGTCAAGGAGGGAGTCCTTGCAGGCCCATGCAAATGAGATCCTGTTCCATCCTTGAGCTTCAGAAGGCCCTGGGCTTTGGAGTGTCTTCACTGAGATTGTCAGAATTCCTACCTGGGCCTGGGATCAGCTAGGCACATTGCCCCCAGCCCAGCCCAGAACCTGTGAGTGCTCCAGACCCTGTGTCTCCCCTTCAAGCACATTCTGACGCTTCTGTCCCAGGCGTGGGAAGGGCTCCAGGACTTATGTCTGGAGTCATCCCTGCTAAGCCCAGACTCTGGTCCTGGGAGGGTGGCCTGATGATGGATAGGATAGGTCACCCTATCCTATGGGTGGATAGGTCAGGATACCCCTGACCACTGTAGTATTTGTTTGGTGGATTTGTGGGAGATTGGGTCCCCCAAAAGGTGCAGACACGCTGATTTGTAGTGACCCTTATGGATACAGGAGGAGTTTGGGGCCCTGGGCAACTGATGGTCCACTGCTGGCTGTTCAGCTTGAGCCGTGTGTATGGGTTGGCACATAGCTCTCATTCTGATGTAATCAGGCCATGGTCCTGCTGCTGATCTACATACCCAAGGGTTGCAGGTCTGGTGGCAGGCATCCTTTACCCCCGACGTCCCTACCCTGGCGCGCAGACCAGTCACCCTGCACCTGCAGGAGGGTCTGTGCCATGGGTCAGCCAGTCCTCCAGCAGCAGTGACCATTTCCTCTGATGGCTTTTGAGACACTTTTCCCAATGCCTGTGGGCTTTTCTCATCACTGTCCTCTCTCACCTCCAGCTGATGTGGTGATGATGTCACGCCTTTTCAGGATGTATGAAAACATGCTGGACAAGGGTTGACCATTTCCTGCATAAATGTTCCTCGCTTCTTGCTCCACCCACAGGCTCCTCACGTATCCTTCCCACTGGGATCAGTCTTTAGAAAGCAGGACTGTTCGTTTCCTAGGACTGTTGTGACAAATTATCATAAACTTAGTGTTTTATTCCCATACAGTTCTGGACTCCAGAGCCTTGAAATCAAGGTGTCAGCAGATTTGGTTCCTCCTGGAAATACTGAGTGAGAGTCTGATTCATGCTTCTCTCTCAGCTTCTGGGTTGCCAGCAATCCTTGGTGTTCCTTGGTTTACAGATGGTTGTTCCAATCTCTGCCTCCGTCTTCACATGGCGTTATCCTCTGTGTGTCTGTGTCTCCAAATTTCCCTTTCCTTATAAGAATACCCTTTACTAGATTTTTGGGGCTTCCCTGGTAGCTCAAATGGTAAAGCGTCTGCCTGCAATGTGGGAGACCTGGCTTCGATCCCTTGGTTAGGAACATCCCCTGGAGAAGGAAATGGCAACCAACTCCAGTACTCTTGCCTAGAAAATTCTGTGGACAGAGGAGCCTGGTGGACTACAGTCCATGGGATCGTAAAGAGTCGGACACGATTGAGCAACTTCACTCCACTTGACCAGATTTACGGCCCACCCTAATCCCAGGTGAAGTGAAGTGAAGGGAAGTCACTCAGTTGTGTCTGACTCTTTGCGACCCCATGGGCAGTAGCCTACCCCAGGCTCTTACGTCCATGGGATTTTCTAGGCAAGAATACTGGAGTGGGTTGCCATTTCCTTCTCCGGGGAATCTTCCTGACCCAGGGATAGAACCCAGGTCTCCCGCATTGTAGATAGACGCTTTACCATCTGAGCCACAATCTCATGTGACTTTACCTTAACTTGATTACACCCGTAAAAGCACCTTATTTCTAAATAAGGTCACAGTCACAGAATCCCACTTCTGACAACACTGAACTGGGGCTTCCTGTGTAGCTCAGTTGGTAAAGCATCTGCCTGCAATGCAGGAGGCCTGGGTTCAATTCCTGGGTCAGGAAGATCCCCTGGAGAAGGAAATGGCAACCCACTCCAGTATTCTTGTCTGGAAAATCCCATGGACATAGGAGCCTGGTGGAATATAGTTCATGGGATCCCAAGAGTTGGACATGACTTAACACTATCTTTCTTTCTTTTTCACAGGTTCCAGGTGGTCTGAATTATAAGAGGACACTATTCAACCCAGTGTATGGGGATCTGGTCAATATTCAAATAGGTCACATTCTAGGAATGCAGTGATTATAACCTAAAGACTTTAAGAGAAAACAATGGGTGGAAGATGTGTTGTTTTATGTTTATACTGCTACTGCTGCTGCTGTGAAGTCGCTTCATTTGTGTCTGACTCTGTGTGACCCCATAGATGGCAGCCCACCAGGCTCCTCTGTTCACGGGATTCTCTAGGCAAGAATACTGGAGTGGGTTGCCATTTCCTTCTCCAATGTTTATACTATGTAATCCCAAATGGTAAACTTAGCATGATCTGGAAATGAGTGATGGCTCACATTTTCCAGCATAGGCTGGGTAAGAGGTCCTCATCAACAAAGTACAGAAATAACTTTTGAGAGTAGTTGGAATCCAATGTTCACAGACTGCAGGGTGAATGATGCAATGTCATGAGTCAGTGTTGTAGTGGAACTGCCGAGGCAAGAAGAGCTGTGGCCTTCAATACAAATAGTTCTGAGGAGCCCGGTGTCCTGAGTAACTATGTGTTGATACATTTTCTCAAAGTGGGAGATAGGAAATTAACTGAGAACAGTGCATTTGGCAATAGTGAACAGGAAAGAAAATAAAAAAGTGGTTTTGGGATGTGAACAGGAAGAGGTAATAGTTGGACATTATGAAGAACTTTTATATGCACCGATGAGACAATAAACATATACCTCTTCTTTATCCATTATAATAAGTCTCCATCATCAAATCACTATACTTCATGTGGGCCATGAATTTTGTAATTCATTTTTAAAATAAAATTGTTTATGTAGACAGGCTACGGACTGGAAAAGGTCAGTTTTCATCTCAATCCCAAAGAAGGGCAAAGCCAAAGAAGGTTCAAATTACTGCACAGTTGTGCTCATTTCAGATGCCAGCAAGGTAATGCTCAAAATCCTTCAAGCTAGGCTTCAACAGTACATGAACCAAGAACTCCCAGATGTACAAGCTGGATTTTAAAAAGGCAGAGGAACCAGAGGTCAAATTGCCAATATTTGTTGGATCAGAGAAAAAGCAAGGGAATTCCAGAAAAACATCTACTGCTCTGTTGACGACGCTTAAAGCCTTTGACTGTGTGGATCACAGCAAACCATGGAAAATTCTTAAAGAGGTGGGAATACCAGACCACCTTACCTGCCTCCTGAGAAACTGATATGCAGGTCAAGAAGCAACAGTTAGAACTGGACATGAAACAATGGACTGGTTCAGAATTGGGAAAGGATGATGACAAGGCTGTGTATTGTCACCCTGCTTATGGAGAGTACACCATGTGAAATGCCAGGTTGGATGAAGCACAAGCTGGAATCAAGATTGCCAGGAGAAATATCAACAACCTAGGTTACTTCCATGCAATATCTAGATTTCTTCCATGTCCTAACTATTGTAAGTAGTGCTGCAATGAACATTGGGGTACATGTGTCTTTTTCAATTATGTTTCCTCAGGGTATATGCCCAGTAGTGGGATTTCTGGGTCATATAGTAGTTCTATTTCTAGTTTTTAAAGGAATCTCCATATTCTCCATAGTGGCTGTGTTAGCTTACATTCCCGCCAACAGTGCAAGAGGGTTCCGTTTTCTCCACATCTTCTCTGATAGTAATTCTTAATGTTATTTTTGTTACTTTTCTGAAAATCTGAAATGATCTAAAAATAAAAAATTAAAAAGAGAGAGAGTGTGTATGTGAATCTAAAGAGACTGAATCAAATGCCACCCTCTCCAGGAAGTTCCTCTCAAACAAAATTGCATTTTGTCCCACCTATCTTGTGGTAAAATAGACTATTGGTGGTGGTTTAGTTTCTATGTTGTGTCCCAATGCTTGTGACCTGATGGACTAGCCTGCCAGGCTTCTCTGTCCATGGGATTCTCCAGACAAGAATACTGGAGTGGGTTGCCATTTCCTTCTCCAGGGGATCTTCCCAACCCAGGAATCGAACCCAGGTCTCCTGCACTGCAGGCAGATTCTTTACCACTTGTTTTCTTGCAATTCTCTCTAGCCGATTTCCTGACAGGCTCTTTCCTCTTTCTTCTCTAGAGGCAGCACCACAGAATAAGTTGCCGATTGGATTCCTGGACTTACAAACCTGGGTTCCAGAGTTGCCTCTGTTACTTCCCAGCTTCAGAACCTTGCTCATTACCATTGCTATTGATTTCAGACTTCTCATCTATGCTGGGTGTGTGTGCTCAGTCGTGTCTGACTCTCTGTGACCCTTTGGACTGTAGCCCACCATGCTCCTCTCTCCATGGGATTTTCCAGGC